AATGTCGATATGTAGGTTGTATGGCAATATGTAGTTTCCTACTTTTTTCTGTTAGTTTATTAATTTTCAGGTTTAATTTTTATGATAGTCAAACAATATGAGTTAACGGTACTGTAGTGTGTGCTACTGATATTGATAGATATCAGTAGTATGTATCATCAGTTGGAAGTGAAATATCTGGCGGCAGAAGGTCAAGAAGATTGAAGAGAAGAGAACATAAGTGGAGAGTGATTGATGTACAAACAAATTAACTATCAAGTCTAAGACAATTAATTGACATTTTGTAAATGAAGTATTTACTGTATAGTTCTTAGATTTTACTAAGACGCTCTGATATTTTGTATGCAAATATAATCGGTCGTCCCCACTTGTGTTCTAGTTCACTACCGTACTCTCTTACGCTATTGAAATACTCTAGTGAACTTTATGAGATTTATTGCAACTATCCATGATGGAAGGAGGAGAGTTTGCATAACGTGACTTGAGTTTCTAGAAGTTAGTTTGATAGTATGATTGTGTGTTAAAATCACACTCATATTCGTAGGATGGTGCCAGTCTGCACAAGTGATGTCGCATATCCATGATTGAAGTTGTGATGAAACTGTGGTGAATAGCTACTGAATTGTAAACCACTTAACTGTGTTTAGTGAAAATGGACATCATGAAATGATTTATCAAATGACATAGAAAAACGAATGTTGGATTTGAAAACTGGTTGGACATAAATATAAATGATGCTTTTCTATATTTTACTAAAATAACCTAATTTTTTCCGTGCATTTCCTCTACATACACGTTAATGTAACGAAAGCTATGGTGAGAAACATGACTTGTGAAAGCTTTGATTATTTATATGTTTGCTCATCTTCTGTTCGTCATCAACATACCTATGACTAATGTGTGATACAAATGGCATATTTTCTCCACTTCTCCAGCGATTTCCAAATTTTTCGGTATTTCTTTTACTTTTTGCTTTTACATATTAATAAAAAAATATCTTTCTACATTAATCAGTAACTGTTAGTTTATTGGAATTCTCATCAACATTAAGCGAACTTTCAAACTGATTGTCATGTCATCTGCGAATTTCACAACTACCTATTTCAGTCCATTCAATTTATTGATTAGTACCTTTACCGCCTCATCTTCTAAGCATTTCATGAATCATTCAAACTCGAAATTTCTTGTTTAATATAGCTGAATATGATGTTCAAAAATATCTTCTCACTATTCTTCAATGTTTGAGATATCCATGTGACAATTTCATCTCCCACTTAGAAAGTTTCTATCTTATTTGCTTCAATATAATTTCTCATTTGCAAAAAGCGTTCTACTGACTTATTATTTCAATATGAACTTATCAAGGGAATATTTTACATACTTAAGTAGTTTTTCATCCCATGGCAATTCGAGAAAGTCTGAAAAGGAGAAAAGTGCAATTGTTAATTAATGTATAGGCAATCGTAAATGATATAAGGCTGAAGAGATTTTGAACTGGTGAGTGATTGAGTGAGTGAAACATTAGAAAATGTCGTCTTGCCGTTATAGGTTTATGTGAATGTGGGGAGATTAATTACCAAAAATATATTGTAGTTGGAATACGAAGACACTCAAGTGTGAACTATTCAGATTAAGCTAATATAGCTGGAACTACTGTCATGGGAAAACTTTAATAACAAACACGGATTTATGGTTAGAAATACAGGACTGACTAGAATTATAGAAGTGATGAAAAGATGAGTCAAGTGTTTATGAATTACTTAATGGAAAATAATCTACTATTAAAAGAACATGGGCAGGTGGTTCAAATCAAACCGAGTTTAAATTGAAGAACATGAGGGAGATCTAGCCTAGAAAATATACAGAAATCTGTTCGTAAAAATTAAAAGTAGTGAAGTAAATCTTAACGTACTTTCGTTTATGGTGAAGAAGTAACTCATTAAGATTTCCAAATGATACAAATCGATAAATACGACTGAGACTACTGATTTATAATAAGTAGAATATCTATGAAACAGAAATAAGTACGGGAAATAATTTTCGAAGAGGGAAAGTGAAAAACATTGTTAGGAAGATTGATTTATTTTGGGATGGAACTGTTCAATATGAAAGTGATTCGTATTTAGAGGTGTGTTTTTCATTGGCATTCTTTTGTTTGAATTACTCATTTCATTCAGTGTGCTGAAATCTGATTTAAAAATCCTCAATGTTATGATTAATACTAAACGTGTTTGTTTGTTGAAAATTTGATGATCTCATCATTATACTCTTCCAAAATGTCCAGTTTGCAGTTTGGCTGTATTCTTCTGTAATTAGGTTGATATTGAGCAGGTTTATCAGTTGGATTTACTTTAATAATTGAATGTAATCATTGTTGCTTTCTCTGATTTTATAGATAAATACAATGAATTCATTGACAGAGAGGAGATTAAATGTGATTGTAATAAGTTGTTATACCTTAAATTGTGATACAGAAGTTATATTTCTGGCGACCATAAACTACGGAATCTATATATTGAAATGCCTTTCCTGATTATCGGCTGACGAAACGATAATTCTCAATTGAGATATCGAATGTTATGATGAAGGATGTTTTGTGGAGATTGCTGTGATTTAATAGTTGAATTCACTATTTGAATAAAGTGCTAGCGTTTACCATTGTATTCAGTAATTAACTGTCTCCCAACAGACTCATTGAATACCTACTGATCACGGCTTCTCACTGGAACTCCATGAAATAACTTATGGAGATAGTCACTAGTGAGCACATGATTATTATTGTTATCGGATAGGGTGTTTTGTGGAGATTGTAGTAATTTAATAGCTTAATTTATAGACGGTGACACAATTTCGCTGATTTGTCGAAGTTATACATTAACACTATTTGATGCCGGTTCAGTAATCTAGATGGTAACTGTCCACGCGCGAGATCGTCCATTTCTTCCAGGTTTTCAATGGTTGTCTAGCTTTAATCGATACATGAATTCAACTATTAAATTAATAAAATCTCCACAAAATCTTTTTTTGATCAATATTATTTTTCTTATATTTTTATTCCGTATTTCTATCGCTTTTTTCGTTCTTTTTTTGCAACATTTTTCTTTTAGTTTATGAATAATTTCTCTCATGTCGTTCGAAAAATTAATTCTTTTACTTTGTTGAATTTATCTTCTTTTCGTCTGGATGAATTTGAATATATTCTTTTTCTATTCGCATTATTGATTTAGCAGTTTCCTTGTTCCCCTTTGAATTTTCACGATGTAGACTTGGCTCTATGATTAGTTCAAAATTTAGAACAACATATATAAGCGAACAAAATTGTTTTCGATTAGATCTTCATCGAGCTTTACTTTAATATACAGTAATATTTATATGCATATACGAAATTATTAAACCAATTTTCACGATGTAGACTTGGCTCTATGATTGATTCAAAGTTTTCAATGAGGAGTTTTTTCAAGATATTATTCAGTTTATTTCTAGAATTGACCAACTAATAATATTTATTTATTAGGTATTGTTCTCCTGTGAATACGTTTTATTGGGACAAATCAGTTGTCAGTTTCATTGTTGAACTATACTCTCTACGACTTCACTATGGACTTTACTCAAGGGTGTCTGTAGCATGGCAAAATAGTTTAAGCTGTTTTTTCGTCTAGAAACAAATCGCCCATATTCGTTTTACTAGTGCTCAAATTCTCAAAGTATACACAGCCCATCAAAGCTGGTATTAATAAGTAATAGTAATTCATAGATAAATGTTTAAAATTCTGTTCATTATGTTATATATTCAAAGTATACATTAAAAGATGATCTTAATCACTACGATGAAATAAGTTCTTGTAACAGTCTTTGTTGAGTCATAACTATTACTCATAAGACTGGTATGTTTCTATACAATTACTCAGTTCAATTCAAATCTTATTTCGAAACTATGAATATTGATCAAAATGATACAATGATACATTAACTTGAGACACAATAATCAAACATTGCCGATGAACACACATAAGCTTATACGATAACAACAGCATATATAATACTGCAGATTTAGTGACGTTACTTCTTGTGACATGTATTTGAAAACTATCATACTGTGATATTATAATTATTCATAGACAAAGAGCCATATGTGATATAATCTAATGAATTAAGAATTGATTCAAAACAATTGTCTATCAATGTTATATAATCTGTAGGCAGTTGACTGGTAACAATCTATCAGAAAAACAACAAGTAATTATGACGAAGAATTTATAAGTGATAAACTATAGAAAAATGAAGAGTATGCAGATTGTTTTTTAGTCGAATATTTACGATTAATTTGAACAAAAATTATTGGATACTTTATTTCTTAAAAGTTTCTAAAATTTCATTATTCAATGAGATGCATTAATTCCTCAAATTGAAACTATAATTTATGGACGACCTTTGAGCGACGCTAGACTGACATTGAGAGTGTCTCCACCTGATAACTAAGAGCAAATGAAGGTTATAAAACCAATGTGAGGAATAAGAATTATGATTTTCAGTTGATGGTTAATGTTACGAACTGATTTCAACTATAATGGCAAAACTCTGTTTAGCCAAATTGGTGAGTGAATTTCGCACTAAAATCCGAAACCTCTTCTTCAATGATAACCCAACAAGTTGACCTACATGAAATTTCAACTTTAATCGATCACTTACAAACTAAATATTCTTTATATCACAATATAATTTTTAATGTTTTTAATGTCTATTTTCCCAATACATAAAGAAATATGCATATAATCCTATGAAAGTGAATAAATCGAACATATTTCAAAATCATTACATTTATCTCATTCTAATTGAACTTCCAATCATCTTTTAAGGTCAATAGAATTTTTTTATTATTTAACCAATCAAAATAATTGTGTATTTCCATTTTTCACTAAATTTATGTGCCAACATTAAAAATATTAACCAATCAAATTGTAATAAATTTTCATTTATTTAAATTAAGATAAATAATCATTTATACATATATTGAATTGCTTGTATACCCTGTTTTTTACCTTTTATGTTGATGATGAAGATGATGGTATTATCCTTCAATAGATATATAATTTTATTAATTCTTATACATTATACTTATACAAAACCACATTTAGAAACAGTGGTATGTTGTTAAATATTATAATTATTATTATATACAATAATCAAAATATAATAGAGTCGACGTGATACAGAACATTTTATTGATGATCCAGATCGTCATGATATTGAATTTGATCATAATGCATTTTTAGGTGAAGAGACTGCTAAAGAATTTTCCCAACTTACACCAAATGAAAGTGAAGAAAAATTAAAGTAAGTTAATGAGTTAAACAAAAAATTATTAAAAAAAAACAAATTTGTAATTTCTTGTTTTATTAGAATTATTATTAGAAAAATTGATAAAGATAATGATGAAAAAATTACAGAATTTGAATTAAAATCTTGGATTGAATATGTAGCTAGTAAATCGAAACAAAATAGTACAGATCGTCAGTGGAATGATATAAATCCAACTAATCAATCTTCAATTAAATGGACAGAATATCTTATAAAAACATATGGACCAGAAGAAGGTAAACTTTAAAAGTTTGTAAATTAATTTTCATTTGAGTGTAATATTGAATGTGAATTGATAAGTGAAACAGTTTATCTCAGTCCTACAGGAGGTTGGTAGCGGCCTAGATAGCTCAGTAGTAACGTCATTGACTGTGAAGCTGTGACACGGGATCAAATCCGTTAGTAAGGTCCAGTTCCCTTAAGATTACTGGTACACCTTGCTGATGAGTGCCAAGAAGCACGAAACCTGGGTCTAGGGTTTCCTGTCGACTACCTCCAACCACCATCTAATCACAGTTTATGAAGTTATAATATGGATATAGGTTGGATTTGTCACAGAAGGTTCTGAGTTTGGTTACGTTTGAAGATCAAAGAAACCTAGTTAATTATTTCATCGTAGCATAAGACTTTTCGACGATGAGCAACCACGGCTTCGTCAGAAGTCAGTGTCTAATAGTACTATTTAAATTTATGTATATAAATGAGTATGTATACAAAAATTAGGTTCTGAATTGACTATTTTTCTTTGATATAAACTGTTGCCAGTTCTAAAAAGGAAACCTTGTTATGTCTGTGTTTAAAAATAGTCAAGCTTATCACTTTAGGCAATTGTTGTCAGCCATACTTACTACTCAACTACTCGTGAATTGGTTGAAGTTATACATTAACACCGTTGGATGTCGGCTCTATGATCTAATGCTTAAGCGCTTGCGCACGAGGCTGATATGTCCTGGGTTCGAATCTTGCGGGGGGAGTCATATACTAGGACGAAACGGCTTTCCAGTGCTTCAACGTTTCCCACGGTGGTCTAGCTTCAATTGAATCATGATTTCAACTATTGAAATCTCATTCAATTGATATTGCATTACAATATGAAAAACCTAGAAGCACTGATCGGCCGTTTCGTCCTAGTACGGGACTCCTCAGCAGTGCGTATCCAGGATCTAATTCATATATTTTGAAACTGATTTCGAGACTTTAATTGAATGTTGTATCATTTGGATCAGTATTGAGCAGAATTTTATAAAACTTAGCGAACATGTCTGATAAGGCTTAGTTTATTAATGTGCGGGATCATTGGAAGATATTTTAACGAGATATTAATTAAGCATTTCTTCACTATAACTAAGAGGACAATCATAAACCTTATAGATTGAAATCAGGAAAAGGTTATAAGGTTTACTATGTGATCTAGAGTTTTCCAAAATTTTGCCTTAGTCATTCATGACGATTCGATCTCATCGTGATAAGAATAGATTAAATTCAATGAATGACTTTACAAAAACTAAATCAGTGAAAATAAAGACTATTTTAATTTTGATGGAGTTTTGCTCTCTGAGTTGGATGATTTGGTCATCAGCACAAACTTCAGAATTCTATCTGAAGTCTGTGCTGATGATGTCGTTCAGAAGAACGATGAAAGCTCCACGACCAAACCATCCAGCTCAGAGAACAAAACTCCATCAAAATCATCCACTTGAGCTACTACATTTTAATACTTGACTTCCTTTAAAAATCTAATAGGATAGATAAAGGAGAATAGAGTTAGGAGACAGTCTTTTTGAAATATATCATATATTTTTAGAGACTGTTCTATGAAAGGTTAGATAGTCAATTGTTACTTTTACATATGAATAAGTTGTCTGTTTAGGTAGGCAGTAAAGGAACAATAAATTTATATGCTGTATTTAAATCGATAGACTGACAAGCTAATCGTTTTAAACACCGATAAAATACATTAGGATAAGCCAATAAAATGTACACCATTTGTTTTTTGCCTATGAAATAGCATTATTATCAATAAATGAATTAGTCTACATGTATATAGGTACAAATGAAACAATAATACATTTCAATGATTTTCATCCCTTGGAATAATTCCAAAGTCAAATATGACTAAACTGGCATAAAAGATAAAGGTGTATATGATTCATATCGCGTATTTAATCAAATCAGTATATGGTTAAACTGTTGTTAAATTCAAAATGACATGAGAATCAATATTATATTTGTTCAGTGGAATAGTTGATCAAATAATATGATACAATCTGTGTATAAAATATCTCACATTTCTCAGCGTTCATTTCAGTTGGTAACATTTATGACTCAAGTATATCATTTGATCATTGACGATAAAACACAAATAAATATTCAGATCATGAATGCTGAAAAGCTAGAAGCACTAAATGGCCGTTTCGTCCCAGTATGAAACTCCTCAATAGTGCTCATCTATGATTCTGCATACGAGACTCAAACCCAGGACATTCGGTTTCAAGCGTGAACGCTTAACCTTTGAATCACTGAGCCAGCATCCCAAGTGCAGCGTCGTGGGTTTACACCGTTGAGGAGTCCCATACTAAGATGAAACGGTCGTCTAATGCTTCCAGTTTTTCAATTGTGGTCTATCATTCATTGACTCATGATCTCAATCAAAGACTCAACAACCTCCCTAGCATACTGATAACTAAATATGCTTTGAATATTATGGTTTGGTTTGACTGTTATGTATACGTCTACGTACTCTTTAATTTCAGATTTTTTGGTATCATGTTATACTAGTTATTAGTTAACCACAGGATATAATTTGTATAACTTAACTTACATTGAGATTGTGTAGAATTTTAACTGGATCATTGTAAGTATTGACTGAGCTCTTATCTTTATAACTGGAAAATATGGTTTTAGATAATTATCTTAAATGAGGCTTACATTCTGCCTGTAGAGACGTATGCTCCAGAGTGAACATCAAATCTGAGATGCAGGTACATCCATCTGACACCTATCTGAATCCCGAATACAACAGAACGCGCGTCATGGATTCCACTGCCGGCCACTATCCATCTTTGTTTATATTTTGAATTGTTTTTAAAACTATATAAGACAGTGAATACTTTAAACCAACGTTATGTAAGTAATTAAATATTTATTATTTATCCCTAAAGAACGATTGAAAGATACAGCTACATCTGAATCATATAAAAAAGCTGTACAACATGATCGACGACGATGGGTTGCTGCTGATTTAGATGAAGATGACAGTTTAAATAAAACTGAGTTTACTGATTTCGTACATCCTGAAGACAGGCCAAATATGAGAGATGCTGTTATTGATGTAAGTGTTACAGTTTTTAACTAATAAATAAATTCTTTGTGTTAATATTTAAAGAACAATAGATTATCATGAAACTTTAGCAATGATCACGCTTACATCTAAATAGTAATTATATGGGTTAAAGAACTTCACTGCAAAAGCTAAATTCCACCGATCTATTGGTGTAAATATGTCGGCGACATTCTTTGTTTACTAATAACAGTGGTTGCAGTTTCAAGCATTTCATATACTGATATACAGCCTGTCTGAATAGTTTTGATCAATAATTTACTTCTAATGAATTTAGCCCAACTTGTTTGTTCCATTGACGCTCATTTTCATCAACCTGTTAGTGTATAGCAAAGTGCATATGTATTGCAACTTTTAGAATCTCCTATCATATAGACGTTTATTAGTTAGTGTGAACTTCTCCCAAATGACCAGTCCATAGTGTTGTTTATTCGCAGGGCTAAAAGAGTAGCGTACGAAAAACAGATTTTGAAATTTTAGTTAATGTGTTTCTTGGCTAACAGTAGGGTCCAGAACTCTTGACTCACCTAATTTATGATTCTTCCGTTTTATATCCTTGTACCTTATTATTGAACTTGAAACCTGAACTCAATATTCTTAGTTTCAAATGGCCACTGATGGGTTAAATTCAGTTAGTCACCAACTTAATCAAACCCTTATGCATATTTGTTTTTTGAAAACTGAACTAACTTAAAGTGAAAGGATTTTGCCATATAAAGTGGGTTTTGACCCTATATCGTTTATCCTCAGTTTTAGGGGAATTGTAAATTCTTTCATACTTGAGTATATTTCTCAAATTATATAAACGCTGGAAGGGTGGAATCTATGGGAATTCCTTGATGATGAGACTGTGATATGAGAACGGTTTTGTATAATAGCGAGAATGATTATAAAATTGTAGACATATTTCGACCTACTGATAGGATATATTTGTTTATTTATTTATTTGGACAAATAAATATTGGTACAAGAGTGCGCCAAATATATATGCGCCACACAAAACAATGGGAATTTAAGGGGGAGGAAAAAAAGAGAGAATAATAACGAAGAGATTGATGTACGGTGGTGTAATAATGATAATGGTAAAAATGGGGAGATGGAAAGATACAATCAGAAGAAATCTTTCAGTTAAGTAAGATACAACCACTTTTTACGAAAAAAGTAAAAGAAGGTTACAGCAGGACCGCCACTGGCTTCTATTCTGAGCCATATTTGATAACGCCTCTAACCACTGTGTAGCATCATCTCTCGGACCCCAACCAGGGGGTCGTGAAGGACCAACAGAAGCCAGTCCTTCTCAGCTTTTCTTTCATATCACGACACCATGTCATATACTGACCACCTCTCCGCTTCTTCCAACCAGTCCCAGAGTCGGCAAATAATGCATGACGTGGAATTCTCTGGGACGACATTCGTAGAAAATGTCCAAGCCACCGAAATCGGTGTTTCAAGATGGTGACACCAATCAGACTATTGACTCTGCGCCCGAACACACGATGCCGAACCTCTGCATTACTGACATGGTGTTGCCATTGGATGTCAGCAATCCTTCGGAGACAGCGATGATCGAACACAGAGAGTCGTCTAACGTCCTCAACTCGGAGAGGCCAGGTTTCACAAGCATAGAGCAAAACTGCTCTCACCGACGCGTTGATGGTTCGGCCTTTCACAGCCAGACTAACATCACAAAGGCGCCAAAGGTGGCTCAGATTGGCATAAGCCGCTCTGGCTTTCACGATACGTGCATTGATCTCATCACTCACACCCCCACCAGCACTTATGCAGCTACCCAGATACACGAACTTCTCGACTACTTCTATCTGCTCACCATCCAAGGTGAGTACAGGATTAGAATCCTGCCAGTCTTGTAGAAGTACTTTGCACTTTGAAGGTGTAAAGCTGAACCAAACCATCCAACTCAGAGAACAAAACTCCATCAAAAACTATAAGATAACATTTAATGAGTATTACTGAATTTGGGTGGTTTGTTTTCTATCAATCCTATAAAATTTAGGCATTAAATGTGAACACTTCATACAAAGCTATTCGTAAACTGAATATCAAGGTTGGGTAAATATTGAATTTCCCTAACATAATAATTCAAGAGCACTACTTTAATTTTGATTGGTTAAAGGATATAAATTTAATATTTGTTCTTCTATTTACCTTTTGATAGGAATTATTGGAATATGTGGATAAGGATAATGATGGATATGTATCTGAAAAAGAATATTTAGGTAAAATAAAAATTTACTATATTTGGTTATTATTTCAGCTTACTGAACACCACCCTTATCTATCACATTATTATTTTAGGGGGAAAAAGAAAACGACAAAAAGCTGGTAACCGAAACTGAAAACTTGTCTCCAACATTGCTCACACATAGTTTCTACAAATGTATAACACTTAAACATTATTCATTATATTCTTATTGTTTTCTCCACATTTTATTTGAATTAAGAGAGAAATATTCCATTGTGTTTCATAAAAACTTGGAATCATATTCAACACCGATTTCGAATGCAGTTACGAATGAATAATTTAGTTTGTACTATCAACTATAAGGTGTAGTGGTATCAGAAAATATCTACTCAATATACTAAGAACTATCAGCATTGAATGAATTCCTAAGGTATTACAGATCATATTCTCAGGATATAAACTGAAGAAAATGAATCGGCTAATAATTTTATCTGATGTGAATAAATATCAGTTATCGCTGTTTCTACTCAGTTTTGGGTTTCAGTCTTGTACTCTTTTTCATTTAAAAACACCAAGTAAATTTTGGATTCAGAACAGTTATGTAAAAAGTCGTTCTTGCTATTTTTTGCATTCTTACAATGCAGTATTAATCTCAAAAATAAAGAGAATCATTATACTACTAATCAAACTCTATGTGAAAACAAATGTTGAGATTAGATTTCTATCTTTATTCTGACATTTATTTTATGTTTTCAAAAGTTGATTTAGCTCGTGCTTATCAAAGTACACCATTTGATGAAAATGAACCTGAAGCAGAATGGGTTGAACGTGAAAGAAGTCAATTTCGTCGATTCAGAGATACAAATCAAGATGGTAGAATGGATAGAGCAGAAGTTGGTGAATGGATAATGCCATCAAATTATGATCCAATAGATGCAGAAACAAAACATTTATTTTATCATGCTGATACTAATAAGGTAAGTAAATCAAGTTTTTTTTAAAGTCACCATTTACTCTACATGTGTAAGTGTAGTTTGAAAATCAGAACGATCGGATGATTAATTGCAGTTATGATTCTGTTCTATGTTAATTTGAATAGTCATTTAACTTAAACACAGTGGAAGATAGAAAAAATAAGACATTTTATTTGGGCTCGTAGATGGTTATACCGTGCTCTATAATAATAGCAAAACTATTTAGCTTTTAAAATATTAATGTAACTTCTAACTTCTAACCCCCAAATGCCCTGGTATGGCCGAGAGTGGGGTGGGCCCGCCCTCCCACTCGAAGTGCTCTCACACGGCCATGCGTATACAGCCTCTGCCAGGGAAGTCCCACTCAATTCATTCTCGTGGCAGGGGTGTTGTTTACGAAAATGAGAGAACGAAAAGCGAGTGTCCGGGCTTTAACCGGATACCAAACCAATGGTACACATGGGCTCCAGTATCCTTCGCGAACAAATGGCGTATGAACCTATCGTTGGTCACCGGCTACCATGGGATTGCATCTCCACACAATGCCCCACTGCCTTGTGGGTTAGACCTTGAGGTCAAAGGCTCGGGGAGTGACCCCCTAAGAAAACCACCTGCTTCGGTCTGAGCACCCGGGCAGTATCACAGCCCACACAAAAACAGAATGAAATGACAATACTTACGGAAAATACTATACTTGCTCTATCACACTATCTAGTTCATCTTATAATTCGATATTCAGTAGCTGACTAAAACAAAAAGGTCCATCCAGAATCTAGTCAATAGTGAGCATATGATTATTATCAGTGTGGGGAATTTTGAAGATTGAAGTATTTAAATTAACTTTTCAACTAGTGATCTCAATGTAATGTTACTGAACAAAAATGAGGAATGCCTCGGTTTGACTTTCTATCGGCGTCATTGTCGAAGATAATTAATTTTCCAGTGCTACCTGTGTGAAAGATGACAATAGGCAGGAGTGATGTATGATGTTTACTAGGTTACAAAGTATTTACATAATACATATACATAGCTCTCAATTGTCTATTTGCATCTTTTGGTGTGTTCTGAAGTTTCAACTATGTTCTAGTCTGGTTTTCATGTGTTACGCTCATGCCGTACTTTCGACACAGTGAAAATTTTCATCTCTTCTGGCAACCATAGCAACTTTGATGTCACGTTCGGTTACACACAACTTACAAGCTTGTGAGTAATATCCACAACACCTGGATTTCTGTGATTTTTTCGGTCGATATCAATCTATTTATAACTTTCACAAACCACGATGCCTTGATAAATGTAAATAAAGCTAGAAGAACACTATTTCTAGAATAAAATGAATTCATTGTATTTTAACGCTTCTCATCAGTTACAAACAGAATAAATTTGCATTAGAAATATTACTATAAAAAATACCATTACATACCATAATTGACTAACTTTAGTTCGAAACGACTTCAGAAACACGAGGAAACAACATACATAACTTAATGGTTAGGACTGACTAGTATTTATATGTTGAGAAATGAAATCACAAAAAGGGGAGAAGGAGGTAAATTTGTAAGTGGTAATAAAGAGATGGTAATTAAAAACAACTTATTAACAAATGGGTGATAATCAGAGCATCTATGTAACATGGCATCAAAGTTAATGTTATGAGTGTGTAGCGTGGTGTCGAGTCGAGATTAACTATGAACACCGCTAAAAAGGATCGCGTGCCAAATAAATCAGAAGGCGAAGGTTGAACGTAACCAAATAAATCCATAAAATCCCCGAGAAACCAAATATCAGAAGGCAATTAATGGACCAAATCGAGATATATTCGCTGGCGATCTCGTGGTATCGAAAGGATACCGAGATCGTGCCAGGATACAAGCTTGGTTACAGAATTCGCGCGAAGTCACAATCAAAGTGTAAGTATAAGAATGGAAGCACAATATAGCTGTCATTAGCACAGTCAAACAAAAGCACATTAAAACAAGCACTGGTACAGTTGGTTATAATAATAATTGTTTTTATTAAACCAGTCGTGTTCTCGTGATAAATGTGAGTCACTACAAGTGAATTTCTTGGGGACTTTTTAAGCTAAGTTGTAAACCATAATGAAGAGATTATGTAACTGACATGCGTTAAAATAGAACTATAACTAGATTCATGGCAATGATAGGTGTACCACACTTTCATTCTTCATGCAAAGGGTATGTCGAAGGCTCTTGATAGCAATGGTCTTTGTAAAACGGAGTAAAAATGGTATACGTTCCCCGTCAATTATTCTGAAAGCTTTTGAAACATTTATGTTGTGTCTACTATCCAGTAAACGTTTAGTAATCCCACTTGTGAAAATTTCACTTACTTTCAGGCACAACTTACGAGAAATATGTTCTGAAAACCTTGTTGGTACCCTTGTCTCACTCTTTCCTATATACTTATTTCTAAAAGTACATGTAAATTCTTAAATACACTTGATGATGACTTCAATAGAGCTTTGATCCAGTTTTGATTGGTTTAAGGGATATCTGGTGTTATAAATTAAAAATAGTTATGTTAAAGAGAAGCATCTCTTTGGCTCTGCTTTGATCCTTTAGTCAATCCTTCTTGAAATCTCTTCACTTTTGAATTCGAGCAGGATAAAGACAGGTTTTCTGGTAACAGTTGTTTGTCCAAGACTTTTTTTGATTGTTTTTCCCGTACTTCATTATAAACGTTTTTGGATATCCATTTTCTATAAATCATTCTTCAGTGTATACTATTTTTGCTAGTATTTTGCCGGTTGAGCACAATCTTTTGACCGCATTGAATGGGATTTTGAATAAACAACATTTATAACTAAAAAGACATAAACTATTATAATTTAAGTATTTCCCTGCCCATGTTTTTTCTAAATATGGTCTTCTTGATTGTTCGATTGTTCATTCGGTTTACTTTTAGGTCCAAATAGTAAAAGTGATTGTTATGTTTATATTCCATCGTAAATTCCATGTTAATCTATGCTTCACTGGACTGGTAAAGCAACTGTGAGGTACGATTCATATCATTACAAATAACAAATGTTTCGTCAACGCACCTTCTATAGAGTGTTAAATCTTCAACTTCTTGTTTAAGTTTCATTTGTTCAAGATATCAATCAAAATTAGCCCCTAGTAGCAAATTTTGACCGTTTGCAGCTGATGAGAAACCTTGAAATATAATGAATTCATTTTACTCTCCAAATATTTTTCCTCTCACTCTATTGGTTAGTATTGATTCAACTTAATTCCTATCAATTGAGTAACCAAATATTTTTCTCGATCAGATTATGTAAAGCATAACAATAAGGTAATGAAAATAACAAGGATATGACAGAACTATGATTAATATGACCTTGATCTTCTTTACTTTTTTTCACCTATCAGGATGGATTATTAACAGAAGCAGAAATTATCGCTAAACGAGATACTTTTGTCAGTAGCCAGGCCACAAATTACGGAAATGCGCTAAAACAACATGAAGAGCTTTAATTATAATGAAAAATACATTAAAACGAAACATTAAATTGGATGAAAGTGCTTTATTTCATTTGTAACTGGTTGTTTTTTTTTATTCGCTTGATCCTGTTGGTAGTATGAATAAAATAATAATCTTGTTCATCATTCACTTACTACTTTTTATCGTTCATTTGCATTGAGTTGATTGAGCTCATCTTAAGCATGTGTTAAGATTAAAGACCTGGGTAAAATATCATGAAACGTAATTTGAAAAGGGTTTGTGTGATAGACGCAATCAGGAAATGGAAATTTTGAGTTATGTGATTTAGATTCATTTACGTAGGAACAGGTGTGTTAGCTCGTCAACTCTCAATTGTGAATTACACCATTCCTTCTCATATAGCTTTCCATTCTGTATTCTCAAGTCCTATTCCAAAATGTTCATTGTTTTTCGTCATTATTTTTATTAAATTCATTAGATCTCTTTTTCACCTGTCATCATATCATCTTGATATAGTGGGATAGCAACTTGTGCCAAATCACATAAATCCCAGGCTCCCTGTTGATTGTGCTTCATCGTCTGCTTTCACTGAATGGAATAACTATGAACTAGGAATGAGTTGTAGACAAATACTCGTCATTAGCTGTAATACAATGTTATATATTAAATCACTAGGATATGCAATTATATGATATTTAGAAGTATTCTAATTAATGTACTAATTAAGAATTTGTGAAATAGTGCAATTTGAGGTAGATAGAACTAGATGACCACAAATGAATGTATTATATTTGTAATTTGTAGTCAGCCGGCAATCAAGGATTACGGAATTGTTAGTTTGTACACATGCCACAAGTTATATGCAATGTATATAGTTTGAAATAAACAAGTACAAATAAAGATAAATTAAGCTAATGATTTACCTGTTTTTTGAAAACTTTATATGCTATTTATTACTTTCAGAAGTAATTGAGATTGGTCACAATGAAGTACGTTTGCCAATGAGCCATAGTACCTCGTTCATTCTCCGATGATTAGTTGGTCCTCTCCCTATCTGTCCTTCTTATAATCATCCCATGCAAAAATATCCAATCAATACAGAGATAATAAACAGGCTGATTCGGACCTCCTACACTCCCTGATAAGATTCTCAGACTGTGATACCTTCTTCATAAGTAACAGTCTGATGGAGAACAATGGCACGTTCTATCAGATTATCAACTCTTTTCAAGGTCCCCGTGCACTTGCTGAAGCGCACGGGTTTTAGTAAACCTAAGTACTTATTTACACCAGTTAAATATCATAATAAGTCAAGACATCTGTAGAAACGTTACTACAAGTAAAATGATTTTACGGCAGTCGGACAAATAACTTTGATTTTAAAGCAAACTAAAGAAAAAAGAATAGGTTAAAATTCATTATTGAGGAGTTGTTAGCATTTGGTAAGTGCATAATAGTACAAAACTTGATTCTCCCTAACAGTAAACTCGTTAGAGCAACTTGAAATGAAAATTTACTGTACATCATGCATAATGGCACTTTTATAAACGACTCTGAAAGAAGTTGCTTGTATTTACAGAAACTGTATTAATATATACATGTTTACATATGGATATCACTTCAAGACGATCTACCAATCTCGACATGTTGATGTAGTTATTTTAAGCGAAGTTAACCGAACGATTCTGTTCATTATGAGCTCTTGGAATCAACCGTTTTGAAGGTGAATATTATTAGCAGTTTCATAATTATTTAATGGGATATTGTAAAGAAACTTTGTAGTGAATGTATCTCTACTACGGCTACTACTGGTCTCAAGCCCGGGCAAAGGAAGGTTGGGCGTGGGATCAATATCTCCATCCCGTAGAAAATAACCTTACTGAAGAAAACGCTAACCAGAATGTAGTCATGAATGAAAACTGAGTGCGATATCTAAAACGTGTTAAATATATTTATTTGTGCTAAAGAAGTGAGCGTGTTAATTAGATTTTGTTGTCATTGTCTTTTAAGGAATGAATAAATTCTATATTCATACATATAGTTCCCTTTATCATTTTCAAAAGAGTAAGAACAAAGATTCTAGCAAAGTTTACGTGAACGCAAAGATTTTACAAGTTGACATGGGAAACAGCCTGACATGAGACATTCTCCATAAAACTTGACTCTTGTCACTTCTCATGATATTCTGCAGCGTACCGTTACGAAGTGATTCAGTGACCTGAATAATTGTGCAGGGAGACTTTTTTTCCGAGAAATTTCGTACACATAGCTCCCTCTATCATTTTGAAAAGAGCAAGAACAAAGATTCTATTTTCTACAATCCTTTTTGTGTTTTATGACCCTTAAACATATGGGATGAAATTAATAATGCCCTACATTTTATCCAATAAGATTTAGGGCTACGTATTTATTGGATAGTAGAGAAAAGCTTCAGTCACCTATACTTGGATAATAAACAAAAAAGATTGATTCCATTTATTCTCAGTCTGTATTGAAGTGAATATCAAATTAAATTACATAAGCAAATATAAATGATATGGTTTTAGTAGTGTTTACATCATGTTTATTTGTAAAGTATGTTCTAAAGGTAATAGATTAAGTATAATTACATGGAATTTAGATCATAGTTAGTCTTATGAATCTTTACAGAGGTTTGATAACTTCAACAAATGTGGCCGGAAACATCCCACGATCGCCAGTAGTAGCCGATTCACCACGATACCAGTTTTCATCAATGGCTTCAAATAAATACACTATTTCACCAGGCTAAAAAAAGAATTAAAAAACATAGTGAAGTGATATTAATTAAAAGGAACTTAACATGATCTCAATTTGTCAATACTAAGATGATTAGTTATAGAATATTTCATCAGTTTACTTCTCATTTCGTTTCTATTCAATATGTCATGATAAATTAGCTTAAAATAATAATTCTGTTGATACTGATAAATAATCGCATGCTGAGACACAAACGCTTTGCATTCTGTAGAGCATTCCATAGTTCGTCCACAAAATAACATTGAGTAAATTTAGAATCTTTGAGTGTCCAAAAGAATCAGTGGTTCAAATTTAAAACTCAGGTTAGTTTATTGAACCGAACAACAACCATTCAATTCTACTGGTGATATTTGACGTTCATCAATGATAGATTTAAAGTGGAAATTAGGTTCTAGTGAACATATAGTTATAAATCAATTCATAGCTGATAAAAAATACATACTGACTACTATAAAATAATAAATCACGATAATCATGGTCCAGACGTTCCTTATTACTTTAGCCCTAAACGTTACCATAGTTTCTATGTTTGGTTGTTAATCTGAAACTGGAAACCTTCTGAACTGTCCTAAAGTAGGATAGTGTCATTTGTTATGATCAGACATAGTGATCTACTCATTTCGTTCCCAGTCTAATACTTAGCAGTTATTACATACGTCGTACTCAAAAATGTACAAGGTTTATTTTGAAATCTAGCCCAAATTCCTAATAACCACGGTAGTGATTCGAATTAACTTAGGTATAAGTCCTTATATTTAAAAGTGAAATTCGCCTATATGCCAATTACAAATGGTTCGAACGAAATGCATTCAACATACTACTTTTTTATTTGTCATCATACAACAGTTGTTCTTGCATCAAATTATATGAATCACCACCGGTCTTTGACACGATAATTAGTCGACGGGTTATCCAAAAGAACGAATCTGCTCTTCTTTTATGTAGTGAATATGAAAGTAATCACATATTAACTAGGTGATTTATATCAGTGTTTTGTGAGATGATTACTCCTATAGTGTTATTTAACTAAATTAGTAACGCCCTGAAAAGTTCCTAATGATGTTATCTACGATCCTTTTAGAAGGCTTTACAAATGGCAGCTTCGAAATCGTTCACCGTCCTTGTCTATCAACTTTTTAGTACTATTTCTGAGCAATTATTCATTGGCTAATCAATTAGTCACATATTCAAACTCATTCAATTTGTTTCAACTTAAAGTAATGCTCAACCCACGAGCAGTCAATAGCTACTATTTCAACATAAATTTATCTGTAGGATCGACTAGGTATCACCATCCTATCAAATAAATAGTATACAAAGTTATAAGTCAGTAACTGAATAAGTGAAATGCAAATTCTGATTACCGACAAAGCTAAATCTTCATCAGTTTCTTTATCAAATGTATATAAAGCTTTGACACGTGGTCTAGCTTCCAAATAATAAGCCAGTTCATTTGAGTTATCAATAACTCGAACACTGGAAATGTTTACTAAACCGATAACACCAAACCAGTTTTCACATTTTATCCATTTTCTACTTGATGATGATGAAGATATTGAATACTGAAGATGAGAATCACTACGTCTGTCACAAACTTGGGGACTTGAATCAATACACTTAAGGATATCACCAACCTGTAAAGAAAAACATGAGGGTAATAGATAATAGTGTATCATTTTATACGATGGAAACCTTTTGTGTAATCAAAACTGATTCATAATAACAATGTGAAGGTAAGATAGACATAAAACGAGGTTGGTAATGAGACTTTAAAATATATAACTTAGAAATCAAATAATCTTGTTTTGACCCATATCAAACGATAAGCTTGAGTATGCACCTTTATTCAACACGTACGTTTGATCTCATATCGAACCTGATATCTTCAGCTATGAAGAGGAAATGTAATCATGTTATTATTGGTAGATTACTAAGAAATTGAAAAGGATTCTCATATGTTTACATCTGCTAGTTAGTTGTTCAGATGAAGGTTCTTTGTCAGACGTTAATACACTCTTTTACTTCGTCTATTTTATACATTAATCGATAAAAGGATCTCAGTCTTAGTATTCAAAAGTAACATTGTAACATCTTTATTCTACTTTCTTGGCTTGAGAAGATCTAACAAATTACTATACTAGTTTCAACCATTCCGAATTTTCCAACTCCTTCCAGATTTCATTTTTAATACATATATATTTGAATTACAATGGCCATTAGGTATATTATTTCATTACATGATCTAATTTAACTGTTCAAACACGTGTGTACTTCGTTATGCCATTATTACACATTTTTTACTAACAATTCAAGTAACAATAATTCTAAATGCACTTGTGCAAGTAATTTTACATTCTTAAAACAATGAGAACATGATTATTCATAAATAGGGTACATCAATCGGTTCATGATCTCAATCAAAAGGTACATCCAGCTGACGAGTCCCGAATAGGACGAAACGAGCGTCCTGGATTTCACTGTTAGCCACCATCCATCTTTACTTATAATGTTTGTGACTTAAGGCAATATTGATACAACACACACAGTATGCACACATGCCAATAAAAGATTGATCAAATGCAACCCTACGCATCGATGAAAAGATTCAAATAAACAATACCAAGTGAACATAAGGTCACTTAGCTAGTAAACATAAGTGTGTAAATGTCTTGGTTTATTCTTTTCAGAAGCAATAACACAAATCACTTTAACTAGTAAAGGCTAGAGTATTCTAAAAACATTTAATGTCTTCTTAAACTATAACTTTCACTAAAATAAAATCTAATAATGTTTAATGCAATATGCAAGTTGACCAAACCAAAGATGTATCTACTTTTAATAGAAATGGTCAAGATAATTCTTCAATAATAAACCTTAATTGCATAAAATAGAAGAAAGCATGTACATTAAAAGATTGACACAATTTACAGTTAAATGAAGTTCACCAGTTGATTCATTGCCCAATTGTTCATGTTCAACTATTAACCAATCATTTGTTGTAATCAATTTACTATGATTACTTTCTCCAGTAGAATCCATTAATGAATATTGATAATTTGATTCAGATCTTGGAGATTGTTGATCATATCTTATGTTTGTCGTCGGTTCTTCAGTCATTGTTTTTGAAACTTGATTATTGTTTGATGATTTCCCAGAAGAAGATAAACTTATATAAGCTTTCGATGTGATTAGCTTTTCTGGAGGTTTTATTACAGTGTACGCTCTTCTTAAATGACTATTATAATCAATATTATTTTTGCTTGTAGCAGAGCTATTATTACGAAACAATTTGGCATTTTTCACTATTGTTATTGACTTGACATCTGTTGATTGATCTCCATGATCGGTTTCAATACCATTATGCATATTTGATTCATTTAAATGTTTTAAATAATTCAATCCATTACTGATATTATTATTAGTAGTATTCATTACAGTATCATTTTTATTGTCGGTTGAATATGAAGTTTCTATTGAATGATTTTTGTCAGTATCTAGTCTCTTCGAATTATTCATTCGTGGATTCAATGTATGTTTATTATTTGATGTTTTATTCGAATTATTTAAATCTGAAGACCTACTTGGAGATCGGTTCAATTCTGGAAGCAGTTTGCTCAATACTGTCTGTTGGTTATTAACAAAAAGAAATAAATTACAATAATTAAGAATAATGAAAGTAATTTATATGATTTACCCCACGTCTAAATTAGGAAAATAACAGCGAATAAATATCTACAAAGACAACGTTTTTGACGGTGAGATAAATGATAGTTAGTTTTATGGATTATATGTAGGTAATTGTCATACCTAAGTAACATAATATAAGATGTATTTGGATTGGTATTAATAATAGTATTGAATAATGATGTGCGGACGAGAACGATAATGAATGATTGTTTGCTTTGTCAGACTTGTAGATAGTTTGACAGGAGTTGGGTGAGTTATGTATTCTCCTATCTTCATTATTATTGTTTGTTGATTGTTATTAGATTGTGTTGAATTATTGTCGATGTTTGGTGTGGAAATAAATCTACGTTCTAGTCAGGCTAATCACGTGTTCTTGATCTGAGTTGTGTTGAATTCCTGTAAGATAGACACTGAGAGGGTATCTAGTGTAGATATTTATCTAAGGCAAATTAACGTCCCATACATGTAGAAGAAGAAAATCAATCGTTATAACAATGAAGATACTAAGTGTATAAATCAAATTGTGGTATGTGCTACTTATACTGACAATTGTTATTTGATGTTAGTCGTGGACAGAATGTCTGGCAGCAGAAAGACAAGAGGACCGAACAGCAAAGAATGGGAACAGGATGCGATTTGCATGAAAATGAAAGAACAATGAAGTGTGAGTCATTTTGAGACAATTGGTGGACATTTTGCAAATTAAGCATTTACTTTTATTAACAAGTTCTGTAACTTTGTGTTAAATACATTCGATTGTCCCTACTGGTGTTCTTGTTCACTTCAAAATCTTCCTTAGTAAATTCAGCTTACCGTTGTTCATTCCGACAATTATTTGTAGTTCTATCAGTTTTTGATCGTTTTACAACTGATTAATTGAAACACTCAATTTTTTTCTTATTCATTTACCTGTAGTCTAGAAAATGTTGTACCTCTAAATTCAATTCTAAATTGTTTACAAAGTTACAAGTCAAAGTTTCTAATGTCTTGTTAAGAGTTTCGTTAGTATACTGGTATGCATTTATAACATAATACTATATTTGTATCGTTAAATAATTGGGTATTTATGCAAAAAATGGTTTGAAAGTGAACCACTTATGTACGTTAAATCATCATAGCTAGTTTACCATTACATTCTACTTTCATTCTAACTATATACTTACTTACTTACACTTGTTACCCCCCCCCCATTCGGAGCATAAGCCACCGACAAGCATTCTCCATCCCATTCTGTCCTGGGTCTTTCTTTCTAGTTCTGTCTAATTTTCTTTCATTTTTCTAATGTCTGTCTCCAGTTCTCGATGTAATGTGCCCTTTGGTTTTCCTCTCCTCCTTTGGGTTTGAGGATTCCAAGTGAATTTTTGCCATGTGATGCAGTTGGGTGCCTATCCTATCCACTTCCTGACTTCTTCCTTCGCTGGGATCTAGTTTGTTTTCTCCCACAGTAGGTTCTTGCTAATAGTGTCCGGCCAACGGATCCAAATTATTTTATGTAGACAGCTGTTATTGAACACTTGTATCTTCTGGATGATGGCTTTCGTATTTGTCCAAGTTTCCGCACCATACAGTAGAACTGTTTTGACATATGTATTGAAAATTCTGGCCTTGCTGTTGGTTGACAGTTCTTTTGAGATCCGGATGTACTTCGGTTGTAGATATGCTGCTCTTGCTTTGCTGATACGCGCCTCCACATCTGATGTAGATGTGAAGGCCTGAAGCCCCTCTGGAGCTGCTGCCGGTACCAAACCCGGATAAAGGAGGAGGAGGGTATGGGGTTAACGACCCAATCCCGTAGAAAAACAACTCGCTAAAAAGCGCTAACCAGAAAAAAGATACTGACCACATACTTTAAAAAATATCCCACAAAATATTTTATAACCTAAATTAACTTTAGACGTAATCTATGCATACATCATGGAGTTTACTTTGCCTAGCTAATAGGTAAATATAAAATAAAATTTTGTGTATCAAAAAATTAGCTTACTTCAACCAATAAAGGTGAGTGATACTTTGTAGTTTTAACCAAAGTTTGTTCTCCTTCTTCCTCTTCTTTTCTTTTCTCATTGTTTGTGTTATTGGTTGTCTCATCTTGAATTTTCGTATTAACATTAAGGTTATTATTATCAGTACAATTTCTAGTATTATTATTGTTATTGTCATGAATATTATTCATTTGTGTAAATGATTTTAAACGTTCTGATGATGAAGGAGCTGATGAAATTAACAAAGGATGTGATCCTGGATACAAATGTTTTGCTCCAGATGGCATTTGTCGACTACGATAAGAAACAATACCTTTTTCTTGTAACATTTGAGCTATTTGTGATATCGCAGTTTGATTTCGTGGTTTCAATGAATTAATCACAGGTGGTGCATTACAAGTTTTAGGTATTTGTTGTTGCTCCTGTAGCTGATCAGTTGATGTTGGTGGTGGTGGAGGTGGCAGTAGCGGCGTTGGATTTGATGCAAGTTGTGACTTGGTTTGTGATGTATTTGGTGACTTGACAATCGAATGTGAGAAAGGACTTGTAGAAACTTGAACACGATTAGGCAATAAATTATTGACTGGTAAACTTGTACTCAGTGACTGAAAATTCACAAAAGATATTGTACTAAATATAATTCTATATTATAAATATGGGTACAAGGTGATTTGTTAACAAAAAACAACAAAATTTCATAGTTTTATCTACAGACTAAAAGTTAAATGGTTAGGTATCGTCTACTAAGCAGCCTCTGCATCGGTAGGCCTCAACATACACAAAGGAAAAACCAAGATCCTCAAATACAACATGGAGAACGCTAACCCAATCACAATTAATAGTGAAACTCTGGAAGATGAAGAATCCTTCACATACTTGGGAAGCATCGTCGATGAACAAAGAGGATCAGATGCAGACGTAAAGGTGAGGATTTGCAAAGCAAGGACAGCATTCCTACCATTGAAAAACATATGAGACTCAAAACAACTTTCAACCAATATCAAAGTCAAAATCTCCAATACGAACGTCAAGACAGTTCTACTGTACAGGGCTGAAACTTGCAGGACTACTACAACCATCATCAAAAGGGTGCAAGTATTTATGAATGGTTGTCTACGCAAGATACTCAACATCCGTTGACCGAATACCATCAACAACAACCTACTGTGGGAGAGAACAAACCAGCTTCCAGCTGAAGAGGTAATTACGAAAAGATGTTGGAAGTGGATAGGACACATATTGAGGAAGTCACCAAACTGCATCACGAGGCAATCCCTAACTCGGAATCCTGAAGGGAAACGTGAAAGAGGAAGCTCGAAGAACACACTTCGTCGAGAAATGATAGTAGATATGAAAAGGATGAATAGCAATTAGAAAGAACTGAAAAGGATTGCCCAGGGCAGGGTTGGATGGAGAATGCTGGTGAGCGGCCTATGCTCCTTCATGAGGAATAACAGGTGTAGGTATTAAGTATCGTCTACTGATCAGTAATTATAGATAAATCTATAATTAAAATGTGATGGCTTGAAAGAACAAAACTACTTATTGTCAGTTTATTTACAACCTTATTTAGAATGCTTAACGTCAAACTGCTCGAACTCCTGCAGAATAACTTCAAATTTAACTTCTCTGTATAACAATTTACATAGTTTGTTGAATCGGGGATTTTACGTCATAAAGTTTATTATCTTTCATAATTTTAACAATAAACAATCATCATTACAGTAATCGTTACACTATAGTTCATGATACAAGAAAGTTAAACCACCAACAGTATTTATAAAAATCTGTTATTCTTACTGATGTATGTAAATCTAATAATGCGGTTGAATCTTCCTCCTATGGAGCTCTATCCCATTACAATTTAAGTGGAGTCATTTAAACGCCTTATTCACAAACTTAAAGGTTTTAGTCTGATAGCGCATTTTGTGAATAGGAATCCGAAATTATCTTTTTTGTAGAAATAGGTATCTGTCAAAGTTCTTAACGAATCATGCAGATGGGACGAAACGAGAGGCAGAATGACAGCACCAAAAACACTCTATTCTTAGGGATGAGATAGTTACGATATCTAAGAAGTACTTTGGGAACTACATTCAACGCAACACATCTATACTCTTTGTTTAACCAACTATAAGTGAGTCAACAAATTTTGAGTGAAATCACCCTCAATGCATAAAAGGGAAAGGTATGAAGTTCAGTCAAACTCAACAATATGCTACATATTCAAACACTTCTCCATAATGTTTCTATAGCTTACAATGTTAAAACTTGTGTCTCAGACTAACAGTATGAACCTAATGAATGAACCTTGAATGGCTTCTATCACAAACCTAACTTTACCTGGAATAGCTTTTGATAATGTATCACTTTGTATGTTTCCGTCACATAGCCTAGTAATTGAAACAAAATGATAGCCGTTTGTTTTGAGTCCTACTCAAACAGCGTATGTCATTAGTGAAGCTGACAAATCTATGACTGCACATTCCTAACCTAGTAATATTGACGGAAACGGGAGTTTTGAAACTAAACTGAAATTAGTTTACAGGGATTTCTGTTTCCAGTATGGTCCACTGAAAATCACAATAATAATGAGTAAACTGCATATTTAACCAATGTTAACTACAATTTACACTGATTACCACGACGTGCAATGCTAACCGGTGTTGGGGGTGCTTGGAAGAAAGTTAGAGGCGGCCAAACCAAAACGTGGCATCAGTCCACAAAGTCACTAACTTCTGGTCTTAGCCATGTTGGTAGATGCAGACTACTTGGTTGGAGTCCGCGTGACTATCGTGACGAATGGTTGAAGACTCCTGGCGACATGGCTCAGAATCGATCACAATGGCGTCGGTGTTTACACTCTCTGTCTTCCCTCAAACTACGAGACTAAAATCGCTTCATATCTTTCTTTCTACGTACTAAACCTTTCTTCCTGTACTATGTCCTTATATGCAATCTTTCGTTTATATTACCACTACTGAATTAACTGCTTCTATGAATCCGGTGTTCATCTTGTTGTTCTAATGCGGTATGACAACTTGGACCGATGCATATATGTGCCTGGTCTTACGTTGCAGCTGACTGACAATTTACACTAATGATAAAGACTAAAAATTTAAGTTAACTGAATAAAGTTGGAAGACATTTGTATTTTCTAGATTAATGTTAATCAAACCCTCATAGAATAGAACCTTCTCTAAACTAAACTAAATTAAGTTTCGATCTTTGCTTTCTATCATCCTTCTAAAACAATCTTTTAAGTAAAATATATACGATTTTAGCTTCATGAATACGTCGTTAAATTAGCCACACATGTAGAGTGGCTTACAGAGTACATTATATTAGTCAAGAAAGTGTCCCAAATCTAATCTACCTTAACCTATTTCAGCAGTTGAGATCACGAGTCAATTGAAGCTAGACCACCATGGAAAACCTGGAAGCACTGGACGGCCGTTTCGTCCTATTGTGGGACTCCTCAGCAGCGCTCATCCACGACCCCGCCTTGCGGGATTTGAACCCAGGACCCATCAGTCTCGCGATTCAATCGACTCGTGATCTCAACTGTTGAAATTACTACAATCTCCACAAAACCCCTTCTGATACTAAACCTATTTCTACGAAATATCTTTAATAACAATGAAATAACTCTTGATGCCTGAATATAAAATCTTTTTTATCCATCAATAGGTTAACTTACAGTAGAGCAAACTTTGTATTCTGTATTGGCTAGATTATTAGTAGGGCTTTTATAATTTAACAAAGAACTTGTGGTTTGTGAATTCAATGAATCTGTTGAATTTGATGACTAGTGATAACGAAAAAAAAATGAAGAAAAAAGGCAAACAGAGAAATATGTAGAAAAAAAATCTTTTTATGAATACTTCTATTTAGTAAATAAAACATTTACCATGTTCATTCATTTTTTGTATTAGTTGTTTGAAACTTCCCACTGATTTTTAGAACTGCAATTGATCAGTCTCTTATTGGCATATATGCATCTTGTGAGGATTGTCTTGATATTACCTTAAGTCACAAGCATTATAAACAGAAATGAATGATGGCTAACATTGGAATACTGAAGTGAACCTTAACTCTCAGGATGCACGTTCATCCAGTAGACTAGTCCCAAAATAGGACGAAAGGTATGTCCTTGATTTCACTGCTAGCTACCATCTATCACTGTTTACCATCTTAGCATAACTAGTAATGTTTGTATAATTGGATGTAATTTAAAACAACTGCTTACTTTTACTCTTTTAAAGTAAAATACACAGATACAAGTAAAACAACACCAAGTGAATTTGAACTTCACACCATTGCATAAGCAAGTGGCTATCAAGACTCAGTAGTTAAGTGGATAACGCGATGGCGTTCGAAGCGAATTGTACTGGGTTCGAGTTCCAAAATGAACATCAACTTTGGGATGCAGGTACATCCAACTGACGAGTCCCAAATAGGACGAGACGCGTGTTCTGGATTCCAATGCTAGGCACTATTCATCTTTGCTTGAAAACCTTGTGACTTAAGGCTATATTGAGGAAGTCCGCACAGGATGCACGTATGCCAACATGAGACCGATCAATTGCAGTCCTAAATAGCAATGGGAAGATACAAGAAAAACAACACCAAGTGAATTTAAATACACAGACAGGTGTAAAATTTTGACCAGTTAATTAATTGAATACATGATGTCTTCAAAGTTCCTAAATATAAAAAAATATATCAATATTCTTTTCCAATTTCTAGTAAATTTCTCAGTAAACTACTTATTTTTGGCACGGATTTAAGAATTTACAGTAAGACATTCTGTTGTTCTAATTACACAATGAATGAAGCTACAAGTTTTTAAGATGAAATGACAAAACCTTTTTTGATTTTCTTTGTCTACTAAATTAAATTAAAGTAGTCAATTGAAATATCGCTAAAAATCTAGGTATTGAACAATTAAAACTGATAAGAACACGTGTTCGAGTTGGAACATAGTAAATATTTCAAGTTATCAGTTGGTGTTCATAAAAATTTCTACCATAAAAATAAAATTTCACAGCATGTTTAAACGATAAATCACAGTTTAGTAGAAAACTCACAATACATATGATTATTTGTGACTGTTTGTTGGATTAGTTATACAATCGAACTCAATATAACTGAATATATGAAAATGTTACGATACCGAAAAAGTCACTTTATTGACTACGAAGTAATTTCTGTTAGTTATGACCACTTATTCTAAAGTGAACAGGTTCAAAACATTGTTATTTAAAACATATAGAGATATAAAGTTGTGAAAATAAAGTGCACCTCATAATCACTTAAGGTTTGAAGTTAGAGGTCAGTAATTCGTAAATCATTTCAAACATTAACGTCTACATATTTATAAGATGAAATATTTTTTTACCGATCTGGATCTTCAGTTTCCCATAATGATATTATTTAGTTCATAGTGAAGTGAATATTTGATGAAACGCTAACAAATGAAATATCTACGAACAGGTGAAGGCATATCTTTGGCGCATAATACTTGCTTAATAATAATTATCTAAATCTTTCGGTTCAAAATACAAAGAGTAAATTCAGTAACATTTGGAAGATTTCATTTGGAAACCATGAATTACATAGAATCTTGATTACCTAAATTAAATAATCACAGTAAAGCTTGACAATCGAGCATATAGTCAGTACAAACGCATCGACGAATAATCATCTTATTATGTTATTCATTCGTGGATTAGTTGAAGTTAGACATGAACACCATTGGATGCCCAATGGATGCGCACTGCTGAGGAGTCCCACAATAGAACAAAATGGTCGTCTAGTGCTTCCAGGTTTTTCATGTTGGTCTAGCTTCAACTGACTCATGATCTATACTATTAAAATTATTCATATTTATCAAAGGGACTGATTATTTTAAAAATCCTCCTTCATTATAAATGTACATAGTCTATGTTTGCTATGCTCAACGACAATCATCGTTTTTCGGAATGGATATAAAGTATGTTTCTATCCCAAGTATAGTACAATATGTGATACCAGTTGTTTTTAAAAAATACTACTATCTTCCATAATATTTCGCTAATGAGAAATGAATGACTCGGATAGTTGACGTTTACGTTCAGTATGCTCGGTATTAGTAGTAGTACCTTTCAAGTTGTGAATTTACAATAGCATACGTATGCGCTTAATCATTCCCCATAGTCTTTCCAAACTCCTGAGTTATGTGTTTCAAAAGAATTCTTGCTTTGATTCATTTCAAATGAATCATATCGACTGATATTAACACTGTTATAAATTCAAATTGGGATCATTATAGTGATTGGTACCTAGTCTTGATCTTATGATAATTGGGTAAATAAGAGACGATTGCACTGAAATTCATTCATCATATATATATATATATATATATATATATATATATATATATATATATATTTACAGAATGAATAATGACGATATAATTGAATGGAAACTAGTAGAACGACATCGGTTACTCTTGAAGGTCTATGGTAGGTAATCTATCGAAAAAGTACGATTTCTCTTAATTATTATAATACTATCAGACGGATTTTGCGAATATTATAGTAATTTCAATGGTTAAGACCATGAGTCAGATCACAATAGAACGAAACGGCCATCCAGTGCCTCTAGGTTTTCCATGGTGGTCTAGCTTCAACTGACTCATGATCTTAACCACTGAAATTATTATAATAATGTTCACTTGCAAAAGATTAGCAATACAAAATAAAATTAAAATGTAACTTCACAATAATGATGGATGAAAAGAAACAAAAAAATATTCTTTAAAATTATTTGTCATGATATAAAACAAACTAGAATGTTATCACATAATATTGAGTAGATAACACTCAAGGAGGAGGCACCAAAACGGCACCAAATAGATATGTACCACATTGACCATTCGATTTGTGTGAGAGCTGGAATACTGCCCGGGTAGGGTACTATCCAGTATCCAAGAGAAGTAAAAATTTTATCAGATGTGTATAATCATATATGGATAAGGATGAGTGAAAATAAACTAATATAGCTCACCATATTATAGATTTAAAGCAATGAATCTCAGTAAAGTACACCAAAGTGATGAGTATAATAATTCATTGTTTATATGAAATAAAAATAGTTGAAAGATCTTTTCATCAAATTATCTGCATAAAATCATAAATTATATTTGGATACACTTTGATGAACTTGAATTCTGGTGTTAAATATAGGTAATAATTATGTAAGTTATGATGATAAAATTCTCATTATTAAATGTCATTCATAAATAGAGATGGATAGTGATTAGCAATGAAATCCAGGATTCATGTTTCGTTCTATTCGGGACTCGTCAGATGAGTGTACCAACATCACAGAGTTAATGTTCACCCTGGGACTCAGACTCAGTGTTGTTCTCTTTAGATGCCATCATATCATCCACTTAGCTGCTGAATTTTGATAGTCGTTAGCTTATACAATCGTGTGAAATTTAATGCATTTTTGTATTAGTTGTTCAAATTTTCTTATTGATGTTTAGGTCTCTAATTGATCAGTCTCTTACTGGCATATGATGAAATGCGTGTCCTGGATTTCACTGCTAGTCACCATTCATTTCTGATTACAACGTTCGTCATATAAGGCAATATCGAGATAATCCGGACAGGATTCATATATGCTAATAAGAGACTGATCAACTGCAGTCCTAAACATCAATGGGAAGATTCAAACAACCAATACAAAATTGAATTAAACCTTATTCATTTTTTCTATTAAATGATAACAATATATATACAGATAAATTCACTCGGTATTGTTTGCTTGAATCTTCCCATTGAGGTTTGAGACTGCAACTGATTAGTCTTTATTGTCATATGTACTTCCTGGGCGGATTGTCTCGATATTGACTTAATTCACAGGCTTTCTAACCAAAGATGAGTAGTGGGTAGTAGTGGGATCAGGAACGCGAGTTTCGTTCTATTTGGCACTCTTCAGTTGGATTTACCTACATTTCAGAGTTGATGTTCACTCTGGAACTCGAACCCAGTACCATTCACTTCAAACGCCATCGCGTTATCCACTTAGCTACTGAGTCTTGATAGCCACTTGCTTGTGCAATGGTGTGATTCGCTAAGTGATAGACTAACTAGAGCAGTAGCTAAATGGATAACATGATGCCGTTTGAAGCGAATGATTTTGGCTTCTAGTCCCAGAGTGAACATCAACTCTGAAATGTAGGTACATCCAGCTGACGAGCTCCAAGTAGGACGAAACGTACGTTCTGTATTCCACTGCTAGTCACTATTCATCTTTCACAATTGATTGATCACTGGGTGGTGATCAATGTCACGTATGTCTAGTCCTTCTTAGTGCAGATCGAATGCTATCGACCAAGTTGCAATGTGGCCACCAGTCCAGGTGACTCGACACTGCGCGCACTATATATTAAGATTAGATGGTGGTTGGAGGTAGTCGACAGGATACCCTGGACCCGGCTTTCGTGCTACTTGGCACTCGTCAGCAAGCTGTAGCTGTAATCTTAAGGGAACTGGTGCTCCCTGACGGATTCGATCCCGTGTCAACCAGCTTCACAGTCAGAGACGTTACCAATGACAAGTGCCAAATAGCACGAAATCTATGTCCAGCGTTTCCTGTTGACTACCTCCAACCACCATCTTATCTCAACATAGTGCACGCAATATCGAATCAATTACACAAGTAACCACATTGCAATTTAGTTAATAGGATTCGATTTGCACTAAGAAGGACTTTGAAGCTGAGTGACACGGGATCGAATCCGTCAGTAAGCACCAGTTCCTTCAAGATTACAGGCACACTTTGCTGACGAGTTCCAAGTAGCACGAAACTCGGGTCCAGGGTTTCCTGTCAACTACCTTCAACCACCATCTGACTATCCATCTTTGCATAGATATACATATGTTTACTTCATTATTCTTTTTAATCAGAATAAGAGCTTAGATATATGTTGAGGAGATTTAATTAATTTAGTCATTTCATGTAAAGGTATATGTGATAATTATGGTATGAATGAATTCAGTATGTAAAATATTTAACATTACACCAAAAAATCAAACAAACTGATTAGATTATAAAATGAAATTTTAAAGGGAATATGGATAAGATTGTGCGCATATAGTAACTAATATTGTGTAACAAATCACCATAAGTGTATTAGATGAACTTATATTTCCACAAGTTTATTTATTCGCTCTTCTTTTTTAAAAAAAGGCACTTACACTTCCTTCATGTTTAGCTTTTAAACTGGCAACTCGAATTTTAGATGGTCGTTTAGGTAGATAACAAGTAGATAATTTTTGACTGCATAATGTATAATTAGGCTGAATATAATTCTGTTTAGAAAATTAAGTTTAAAAATACATATAACATTAAGCCTGTTTATCTAAATGTAAGTGAAGAAGGTGTATTTATTGGTTATAAATACATTTATGTTTATTTAACTAAGATACATATTACTCAGTGTATCAAAAGAATGAATATTAGTGTATTTTATTGATATAGATATTATCTATCAGTCAGTCATTAACAACGTAAAACTTCGTATGTACGTACATCAGTTCGAGTTGCCATACCACATTAGCACAGAGATGCAGTTGTCGACACAAATTCCGTAGTAGTAGAGGTAGTAAGAGTATAAGCAGTAATCGGAAACATTAGGGCTTGGAGATGTTATTCAAGGAGTATAATACAGTGAAATAAATTTGGAAAGAGAACAAGTAAAGGGACATGAAGAATTCAAAAGATTAGAATTCTGGAGAACACAAAGAGTGGATGCACTTGTGCCATTGCAAACGATTTTGAGCCATGTCATTCAGGGTGTCTAACCATCGCGTCCCTTTATCACCTCGCACCGCTAGGGTAAACGATTCGAGTACGCGGATCGTTATTCCTGGTCTCCTGAAACCACGGCTCTAAACTACACGTAGGAGCTTTTAACGTCCGAACACTGTGCCGAATAGGACAATAAGCTCCCTTAGCTAGGACTTTAGAATCTCGTGCCATCGATGTGTTCTGCGTCTACGAAACGCGTATACAGGATCCGAGTAGCGTCATTCATATGACCTCACCATGTCAAAATAAAGAACGAACTCGATTCACACTTCGTGAAGATATTATCTATATATGAATACTATCAGCAATGGAGTTTTGTGAAGATTATATTAGTTTAATAGTTGAATTCATGAGTCAATTAAAGCTAGAACACCATAGATAATCTGGAATCACTGGACAGTTAAACGTTCGCTCGCGAGATCGATAAGTCCTAGGTTCGAATCCCGAGATCGGGATCATAGATACACATTAGTGAGGAGTTCCATACTAAGAAGAAATAATCGTCCAGTGCTTCCAGGTTTTTCATGGTTGTCTATCTTTAATCGACTCATGAATTGAACTATTAAATAGGAATATTATTTTCTTAAATCCATAATTTAAATAATGAGTCGTGTAACAACATATTACTCTTGATATACCGATTGTGACAATTTTGTGATGCATTACTTTGATTCAGAAAGAAGTTAACATTACTTCTAAAGTATATAATTCTCAGTAATGATTATCAAACTTAATCATATATAGAATTGAAATAATTAAAGCTAATAAAACTCTTAAATATGTTGTGAGATAGTAACTCACTAAAGACAATGGTGGATGTGTCGCTCAATTTCGTAGATAAGTTGAAGTTAGACATTAACACCGTTGGATACTGGCTCAATGGTCTAGTGGTTAAGTGCTCGCGCGCGAAACCAATAGGTTCTGGGTTTAAATCTCGCAGGTGGCGAGGTCGTGGATGAGCGCTGCTGAGGAGTCCCACAATAGGACGAAACGGCCGTCCAGTGCTTCCAGGTTTTCCATGGTAGTCTAGCTTCAACTGACTCACGATTTTAACCATTGAAATTCTTAAATATGTCTTAGAGTAGATTTCTAATCAAACAGTTAAATGTATAAATGAGCTATTCATCTCTTTCTGGACCAAGAGTAAAAACCATAATATGAAAACCAGAGATTAGAATTTCAGTGAAAATTTCACCAAACCTACGAATCCATTATGTCGATATTATCACTAAATGAAACAAGGTATAAAATACTGAGAATATCATCATAAATCGCTTACTATCCCAATGCTCTACTTCTATGTAAATTTGTTTCAAAATTATTAACATCATCAGTTCTACACGGTATGTTCATTCGGTGATTCTTAAAATCAATCTAAAATATTTTTAATAGTTGAATTCATGAGTCAATGGAGGCTAGACCACTATGCAAAACCTAGAAGCACTGGACGGCCATGTCGTCCTAGCATGGGACTCTTCAGCAGTGCTCATCCAAGATCCCATTATTATAGGAGTACTGATTAACTCCTCTATGATGTTTAATGACAAATAACCAATGCTTACGTATGATGTTATTTTATAAAATTTAGTCTACAGAAATTATTACTTGTATAATTCACGATTTCAATTTCAAGATAGCCTCATTTCGATAGCGGATAGATCTTATCGTAATAAGTTTTTATGTAAAGAAATACTCATTTAGAACTTAAGTCATCCCACCTAAAACTGTTATAGATAGATGAATTAATCTATAAACTACTCTTACCTAATTACAATAATGTATGAGTTATACAATTCACTATTTAGTAGATCCATTTTATTTGTGATTACATAAAGATGATAAGTAAACCAATATCATAGTTTATAGTTAACCTCTTTCTTAATCGTCTAATTATCAAATTTAATGAATAATATCCAATTGAATGAATAGGTATTTTAGTATCTTCTAGGTTACCATTACATATAAGAACATTGTTTTATAATTCAGCTGAACGTTGTTTGGTTCCAATTCTCCATTTCTTGTTTTAAACCATACTTTCTGTTATAAAATAGGTTCGTTGATACTTTTATAATTGGAATTTCGAAAACTTATTTGAATTCAATAGTACCATAATATTTTAGTGCATATTTACAACTAATCATAAATAATTATATAAAGTTTTTGGTTGAGATCATGAACCGATTGATGTTAGACCACCATTGAAAACCTGGAAGCACTGGATTGGTTGAGGTTAGATGCCGGCTTGGTGGTCTAGAGGTTAAGGATTCGTGCGCGAGACCGAGAGTCCTGAGTTCGCATGCTAAGGAGTCCCACAATAGGACGAAACAGCCATCCAGTGTCTCCAGGTTTTCAATGGTGATCTAATATCAATCGGTTCATGATCTCACTCAAAAACTTAGTAATCTCCACAACCCTATACTGATAATTATATAAAGCTTAGGAATCTATTTAAAGTATTTTCATAGTACTAAATGCCTGCCGCCAGTTTACCTACTGTTACAAAAAGTTAACATTATAATAGCTTGTAAAGTTTTCTAAACAATAAAGTAAAGAATTCTATATACATTTTACTTACAGGCGCAGATTGATTAATGATTTTCGGTAATGGAACAGGTTTCTTTCTGAAAGATGGATGAGAATGTGTCCGAGTGGTATTTGTGAAGTTGTTTGATCGATTAGAATATACAAACTGCATTTTAGGTTGAGTATTTGTAAATAAACCGGAAGTCAATGGGATACGTACTTCAACATGATTCATAGGAAATATTCCAACAGCGCCAGTTCTTATAGATCTGCCTTTATACCATGATTCATCAACAATATCCTCAAGCATAATAATGTCACCAACCTTTAAAATATTTATTTTTGGAAAACTATCATTTTCACCATTAAAAATAACCAAATTTAATATTTTATGACATTTTATATCATAAGCATATATCAATAACTATTTTATCAGACTTGCTTGCAATAAAAAGTACAATTTCCACTTCAATAACCGCGAAGACATTAGGTCGAATAACGCGGTTATATGAATTTAAACTACTCACTAATATTCGGTAACGGTAAATATAAGAAAATTCAGATCGGTAGTAAATCTGGTAAAGTAATTATGAAAAGTATGTTCATTCTTGGTTGACATCACTGTATTCAGCTAACCCGATCATACAACGACTAAGTGAAACACTCCATTTCTTACCGAAAATTCAATGATTATTTCGAATGAAGAAAGAATAAAATTATAAAAAGCCAAAGATTTGAAAAATAAAATCAATAAGTTGGCATAACTACTATTCTGAACAAAATGGTACTGTTCAAACTGGGATTATTCATAATAACTTACTGATTATTCTTACCATTCAACTCTAAATAGATACCAGCCAACTGAAATAAATTCAGTAGTGGTCAGTACAAGATGTATAATCTAATCGAAACTGTTAAACCAAATCATTTAGAGGTTCAGATTTCCACATTTGAAACCGAAATGGTTGAATACCGTGTTAGTTTTTTTTATCTTGGTGAAACTCATGGATTACTTTTGGTTTTCCTATAAATTTCTCTAGTTGAAATCATGAGCCAATTGAAGCTAGACCACCATGAAAAACCTGAAAGCACTGGACGGCCATTTAGTCCTAGTATGGGACTTCCTATAAATGTCGAACTGCTTATTACCTGCTAGCTATTGTTTTTCCTACTTGATGAATTAGTTTGTATTTATCTTCTTTGTAGGTTTTCTTTTAGATAGTAATACATCAAACTTTTGGACATCGAGGAATCCTATATCAATCTATTTGTGTGATTATTTTAGGGATCCAGTATCCACACTAACTACTGAACAAATCTATACGATTAAAAATGAGGCCATCAACCAAATTCATTAGAATATGTACATTCAATAATTAGAAATTACAAAAGAAACTTATGGATACACACAATAGTCGTGAATGTAATTACTTGATCTCCACTATTTCTAATGTTTATGAACTGTTCTTTCCTATTTTAAGCTGTATGTACACACGATTCTCGTTTCTTCTAGCACAAACTGAGAAACATGAGCAGTAATACTATATAATAAGGATTACTAGTTGGCAAATGATAAAAGCGTTTTGTAATATATTAATCACCCACTAAATAGTGGACAGGATTGAAGTCATATCCACAAAGAGTCATTTCTACAGCATATCGGAACAGACAAGTCATTTAATATCAATATACAAAAGAATTCTGGATACAACAAATGACGTAAGATAACTCTATGTTATCATATAATCGGTCCAGTAGCTAAAATGTTTGTATACAAAAACATTATCAATTATTGCAAATCATTACAGTGGTATTTAAAATCTAAGTTGATTTACCATACTCAGCGTTGTTAAAACAATGTCACTTACAAACGCATCATACACACTTTCTATCAAATTTTTTTGAAAACCATTTTGTAAGAGTAAGACTCAAAGTCAATGCATCTACTCATTATTAGCATTTGATAATGCTTTAAACAACCATTTTCATAATTATATAAATATGTTTTTAATGAATAACGAAAATGTCCATAATGTTATCGGTACTTCTGACGAATTAATATATCGTTGCGAAAGTAAGATACATTCTTTTCCGCTAAATTAGCTTCATAAACACTTTTGTCGATAATGTAGACTATTAAAGTACATTCAATTATAATAGTTGAATTCATGAAGCTTTTAAAGCTAGACTACCATGAAAAACCTGGAAGCACTAGACGGCTGTTTCGTCTTAGTATAGGACTTTTCAGCAGTGTACATCCACGATCTCGCTCACAGGACTGGAACCCAGGACTTATCGGTCTCGCACGCGAACGCTTAACCTTTAGATAACTGATCCAGCATCCAATGACGTTAATGTCTAACTTCAACAAATCAATTATGATTAAAGCTTACTGATTTTATATTTTCTAATCCAGATAATTTATGGAGTAAATCAGTTATCGGAATTAGTAAACCATATATTATTTTGAGGATTTATCTGAAGTACACAAAAATATAACTTGAGAAATAGGATAAATTATTCTTTCCTTACTTCAAATTCTAAATCACCATCTACTCCAGTTTCAAAATTATACAAAGCAATCACATGTGGTTGACCCATATGTGCAAATTTTTCAAATGATTTTATATTAAGACCACCATTGAATCGTTCATCTATTGATAATGCCGATGAAGAAGATAAACTTGTAATACTTGATCTTTGAGCATTTCGATGATTTTTAGATAAATTATCCAAACTGTTTTCAATAAAATATTAAATGAAAAGAATTATTCGAATTGCGTTATAGACTGTAAACAAAATAACTTTCTCATTTAGATATTATAATGATCTGCGTTAACACCTGAAATAAGGATAGGGAGTGAAGTAGTCGAACGCGTTGACAACTTCACTTATCTTGGAAGTCTGATCAGCCCTAATGGGTTGGTATCGGACGAAATCTCAGCACGGATTAGAAAAGCTCGATTGGCTTTTGCCACCTATGGCGAAGGCGAGATATCCGTCTATCAATTAAGGGACAAGTATACTGCGCGGCAGTCCGTTCTGTCCTACTTTACGGCAGCGAAACATGGCCATTAAGAGTAGAAGGCACTCGTAAGCTATTAGTATTTGACCACAGATGCCTTAGAAATATTGCTGGCATCTGCTGGGATCACCGGGTAAGTAATAGTGAGGTTAGACGCAGGGTATTAGAGAATGATGGTAAATCAGTTGATGAGGTTATGAATCTTCATCGACTGAGATGGTTGGGCCACGTGTTACGTATGCCTGAACACCGATTACCACGACGTGCAATGCTATCCGGTATTGGAAATGGTTGGAAGAAAGTTAGGGGCGGCCAAACCAAAACGTAGCATCAGTCCACAAAGTCACTAACTTCTAGTCTGAGCCATGTTGGTAGATGCAGACTACTTGGTTGGGGTCCGCGTGACTATCGTAACCAATGGTTGGAGACTTTTGGTGACATGGCTCAGAATCGATTACAATGGCATCGGTGTATACACTCCCTGTCTTCCCTTAAACTAGGAGATTAAAATCGCTTCATATCTTTCTTTCTACGAACCAATTCTTTCTTCTTGTACTATATCTCTATATGCAATCTTTCTCTTACATATTACTACCTTTGACCTAACCACTGCTATGAATCCGGTGTTCATCTTGTTGTGCTGACGCGGTATGGCAACCTGGACCGATGCACATATGTGCCTGGTCCTACGTTGTAGCTGACTGACTGAATGATATTATAATGAAAGTAGCTTAGCTTATTAATACTCACCTTTACAATAAAACAAAACTAATTGGTGCCACATTTCAATCGATGTGTTATTATGTAACTGTTATTTTATCTACCTTATATTCCACACGTTATGCTCCTGAGCCGTATAACTAGTGAGCAACACAATATTCAGTATGAGGATTTTTAATCAAGTAATATGGATAGATATCAGTCGAATGATTAGTAACTCAGTCGTACTTGAATTTTGACGAGTTTAGTTGACAGTAGTAGATAACACCATTTTGTAAATATTTTACCATAATAGTCACACTAAAGAATCTACTTACATACTACCCTTTTCATTATAGAATCAAAATGATCATTTACTCAAGCAAAATTGGTTGATTTCGGGGAGTCATGAATATAAAGAACGATATAGACCCATTTATGGACATTTTATTTCTGAATCTAATGATTATGTGCTGATCTAAAACTCGGTTTGTAACCTGATTCACATTTATTATGCTTCTGCATAGGTTACAATACTTAGAAAAGTTACATGCTACAAAACTGATGCATCAGAGTAATTCAACTTACACTTGTGGATTATTATTAAATACCCACGGTGCATGAACACGTTTATTCTCGGCTGAGGCAGCTCGATAAGATCCAGAAAATGGCGTAGGCCTAATAGGCTTGGCGAGAACGCTCTACAGTAATAAAAATCATACACAAGACAAAGTAAAAAATATTTAACGTCTCACATACGGAATTTATTCAGCTATTAAGAAATAATTGATCAAATCCTTAATTGTTATTAAGAAATTCATAATTAATTAAAAATAATCAAATTATTAAACGATAACCGTATCACGTATCCACATCAAATGGTGTACTCGACTGTGATTGATCAACCTTACATGTCATACAATACGTCGTAGAGTATTTCTGAATTGAATTTACATATCATTCTTTTAATTGCCCCATCAGAAGGCGTTTGAAACATCAGAACAAATAACGTGCATAAAGTCATGTGAATAAGAAATCAACAAACTTCATTGTACAATAATAATCCATTAATTAAATTCCTTTAGAAATGAACACAACATAAGTAATGACTAAGTACTACTTAATTTAATAGTTGAATTCATGAGTTGATTTGAGCTACACCAACAGTGAAGATCTGACAGCACTGGACGGCCGTTTCGTCCTATTATTGGACTTCTCAGCGGTTCGCATCCACGATCCCGGCCTAACGAGATTCGAGCCCAGGACCTATCAGTCTCGCACGCGAACGCTCAACCTCCAGACCACTGAACCGGCATCCATTGGTGTTAATGTTCAACTTTAACCAATCCGCGATATTGCGCGACCGTCCATCATTGTCTTCAGTAAGCAACTGCCTCACAACAGATACAGTCGAACTACACTGGTTACGGCTTCGCACTAGAACTCCTGGAAATACATCCTGAAGCCAGTCACTAGCAAGCACATAATGATTATTGCTACTTAACTATCAAATGATTTGATGAAAGGAAGTTTTTAAAGACATTTTAATAATGTCGGTGATTGTAGTCATTCATCAAAATGAATTTTAAATAAATTTATGTACTGGTTACAAACAATGACAAAAACGTTTACTGCTTAGAAGGCTTAATACTATTTTATTCATTGTACTCCATGTATTTATCTGTTTTATTTATTGATTCTTGTTATCTATCAGTGATAGGCTAAGTCATTAATTGATAATTTCTCTAACATCGACTATGGGTAAGGTAGAACTGTTAAGAGTCTAAGTTTTCAAGGCCAAAAGTATTCATTGCAGATAAGTATAACCAAACGTAAAACACAAGTTTGCTGCATCATACTGGAACCCTGGAGTCAATCAGCTCTAAAACAAATTGATGGCATGCACGCATATGCAAAACATATTTTTAGGAAAAAACAAATCATTTGATAATGATGATAACAATGTTTTCTTTAGTATCTTTTCAAATTTGTTCATATTCCAAACACTGACTGTTAATTGTCATATACGACAGATAAACAAAATACACTACCATAACTACAGTACATTCTCAAGTTCATTTGAAAAACCATTATTAACGTGTCCTACAGTCATATTGTAGTGTGTGCTACCTATATCAGCATAAGTAGTATATAACGCTAGTCAGGAATATGATGTCTGCCAGCAGAAGATTGAGAAGATCAAGAAGGAAAGAACGGGAACAGAAAGTAATTGGTATGGAAAGGAAGTACTAGTGAATTCTGAGAAGATTGACTGATGTTTGCAAAAGCAACAGGGAAGTTTGAGACAATTCATTAATATTTTGCAAATTGAGTATTCACTGTATGGTTCTCAAATTTTACTAAGAAATTCTGTAATTTTATGTTCAAATACATTCGATTGTCCTCGCTTGTTTTTTCGTTCGCTGCAGTATCAGTAAAATGAATTTGTTTTGGATATAGTCCAGTAGACAAGTAAACTTTGATATTCACCAAGATTATGATACTGTAGTGAACAGATGACGTGTGGGGACAATCGAATTATATTTAACACAAAATTACAGAGTTACTTGGTAAAATAGAAAAACCATACTATAATACTTAATTTGCAAAATGTTCAATAATTGTCTCGAACTTCATTGTTATTGCATTTGCATACCAACTGCTTTGTATTCCCGTTCTTCCTTTATTGATCTTCCCCATCTTCTGCCGCCAGACATTACATTCCTGACTCGCGTCATATACTACTTATATCAATATAAGTAGCACGCACCACAGTACTAATTTTAGTGATAGTTTGAATGGTTAATTCTATTTACTAGTTAATAATTCATACTCCCTCATAATAAGTAATCTGTATGTTAATTACAAGCATGAGATTTATTGGACATGAACTACATATATATAAGCTAGGATAAAATGTTATAGACATTTTGGTGCCCGTTTTCATTTATTCTAACATATAGTAACAGCAAAATTTGTATCACATAGATTACAAAATTGGAATTCGAACATTCTTCCTATACATCACGTTCGATTTAGTTTAGTATAGAAAAAAAATTGTTGCACAACATATCAAACATATAAGCGAATAAATCAGTATTACAGGGTCAGTGAATTGCAACATTGCCTGGATATGATAAGCTAATTACGGCTACAGGTATTGTCATGTAGTGTGAATTCAATGTAACTTTGAGTATTTTGGTAGACATCACATTAAACATTGTGAAATTGTAGTGAACAAGAACACAATTGGGGGCCAATCGAATGTAATTGAACATAAAATTACAGAATCTCTTAGTAAAATCTGAGAATTATACAGTAAATACTTAATTTGCAAAATATCAATCAATTGTCCTAAACTTCACTGTTCCTTCATTTCCAAAGACCAGTCGCTTTCTATTCCAGTTCTTTCATTCTCGATCTACTCGACCTTCGATTCTTGACTAGCATTATACACTACTTATGGCGATATAAGTAGTACACATCATAAAATTATTAGTAATAATAATAATAGATGCAGATTACATGCTATTTTCAAACTGTGATCTATTCAGTTAATACTATTTCATCTATGTTTCAACTAAACTATTAGTAAATGACAGAATTTACTCTTCTGAGATCATATTTACAATTCACTTTGATGTTGGTTGTTTTTTCTTCACTCATTTATACTGTCTATTAATGAAATTACTTCTGGTATATGTAATGAATTCGTGATTGCTAGTAAAACGAAAACGTCACCAAATTTCTCTACTAACAATAAAGATGTCTATTATTACAGATTTAAGTTGAATTAACACCATTGAAAATGTCTTCATTTGTTCCTTATAGATGTCAATTTATGTATATAGTTTTTAATGAACATCATCTTTAACTTTCCATCATTCATTTTGTTTTTGTTTGACTGACACTTATCAAAACATCTACTTGGTGAGAATATTTTTTTATGATTTTCCAAACTGAGAAAATATTGTTAAATCATCTGTACTGAGTGTTGTAAAGTATATTGATGTACAAATACCAATTAATGAACCTTATCCAAAGAAAAAACGTTGTTGAATAGAACCAAGGAAGGATACCTAGATATACAGTTTTTTGACAATCGTCCTAAATTAACTAATATCAATCAAAATGTATAGCATGATTGATCTCTTTATACTAGTGATAAAGTCTTACATTATCGATAAAATATGTTCAGGAATTACGGCAGATAACAAGATACCATTTGTTACTTAGTAATCAGTTATCACCAACGTCTCTTGATAGGAATTTATATAGAGTCAATTTCTTAAATGAGTTATGCAAAATCAAGTGACGATCAATTGACTTTTATATTATTCCACCAACGGAGTTTGATGAATATAAAGTACCTGTAATTACTTCAATATGTCTTTAACTCCATTACAATTCTTGTGTGTTTGTTTTTTTCAGATAAGTCCAAATTGTCCTTTGTTTCTTTGGAAAATTTTATGAGAAATACTTGTAGTTAAGTAATTGATGAAGGGTTTATATATTTTGATAACATGATGACTAAAGATTCAAGACTATATTCTAGAATATCGTGTTTTAACTAACATTCATTTCAGTTTCTTGCCTAATACATTTTTTCACTGATTGAAATGGTGAGTCAATCGAAGCTAGACCACCATGAAAAACATAGAAGCACTGGACGGCCGTTTCGTCCTAGTATGGGACTCATCAGCAGTGCACATCCACGATCCCGCACCCTGCGAGATTCGGACCCAGGACCTATCAGTCTCGCGCCAGGCACTTAACCAACTAGACCACTGGGGCACAGTTGTGCAACTTCGTGGATTGGTTGAAGTTAGACATTAACACCATTGGATGCTGGCTTAGTCGTCTAGAGATTAAGTGTTCGCGCGCGAGATCGATGAGTCCTGGGTTCGAACCCCGCGGGGTGCGGGATCGTGGATGCGCACTGCTGAGGAGTACCATACTAGGACGAAACGGCCATCCATTGCTTCCAGGTTTTCCATGGTGGTCTAGCTTCAATTGACTCATGATTTCAATCAGTGAAATTCTTAAAATCTCCACAAAACCCCTTCTGGTATTTCATTTTTTATCACCATATTTCATGGTAACATTCTATATTATTATGTATACGTTTATTTGGTTGCCTATTTGATATCAATTTCAAAACCAATGAAACAGAAGTTCACAAACGATTAATACGATTTGATTCAATACCTTGCAAGAGTTATCACGAGAATTTAATAAAAACTTACTGGTCCACGTTGTTCGCTTGTAGAACGTTCACTGACCATTTTAAGATAATTTGAATTAGTTATCTAAATAGTTAAAAATAAGAAGTAATGCAACAATGTAGTAGCGATATAAAATGACAATGTAAAACCATTCGAAGATATATTTTCATTAGAATATAAACTTTACTAAACAGTGGACAGAGTAATCAACATTTAAAAGAAGTTATAATTGAGGTTTAAATATATTGAACTATTCAAGTAAGCAAATAGATATATACAATGAGACTGTATAGACTATTTGTTTCAGTAATCTAATTAAACTGTTTATATGAAAATTGTCTGCAATATGCTCATTGAATTGCTGAAAAATTTTCGTTTTTATTTATTTATTAGGATTATGATTTGTGAATAACCTCTGATATTTTTGATTCATCTTTCTATGAACTGTAAACTATCATAATTACTATTAAAACTACCTTGAAAGAACCGAAATTCTAATTCAGGCTTATACCCTTGTAGACATAAAACGAAATCTGAAGAAGCATAGAAAAGAAACAGAAGATCTATAAGGCTGGTGTTACTGATAATGGTTACTATCGACGGTGTTTTGAAAGAACTCCTAAAAATGATCATTCAAAAATTATCGATAGATCCATGATAAAATACGAAATAGTATATCAGTAAAGATATCCGTTGCATATTAACTGTACAATCAGATATCTATTCAATCCAATTACTAATTAACATATATTTTCTACAAAGGTGACAAAAGGATCTCGAATGATCTCTAGAATGTAGAATACATAACTAACAAAATGAAGATCGGTATAAATATAAATCAATTTTGTACGTATTTGAGGTATTTTTTCTGTAGAAAAACATCAGTTCATTTATAAAATCAATAAGTATTAATATTAAAGTAATAGCTGATCATGAATAGACAAATCGAAGTGAACGAGAACACAATTGATGATAATCAAATGTGTTGGAACACAATATTACAGAACATCTTAGTGAAATCTGAGAACCATACAATAAATTATTTATTCGCACAATATCAGTCAGTCGTTTTAAACTTCAATGTTCTTTTATTTCCATATCAATCATTCTCTGTTCTCGTTCTCTTTTCTGTGATCTTCTTAACCTTCTTCTGCCAAGTACTTCACTTTCGGTTGATGATACATACTACTGATGTCTATCGACATCAGTAGTACACACCACCATATTGTGAAACGAAATCTATAGAAATAAAATCCAGTAATCAAGATAATTTCTAATAAAAGTGATTTTTTGTTTCAATAAATCTTTTTTCGATCTCTTTGTGTATCAGCCAGGTTATTCTATTGGAAAGAAAGGTATTTATTGCCTTGAGATCAATTATACATTTCGTTAATACATGCAATAATATAAATAAAGATCTATTCTGTTCTTATAGATTATGGCAGCACAGACCGATGTTTTGTACTGACAAATTCTGAATAGATTCTTTACTCGACAGAATATGAAAATATACTTTATAAAACTTAAAGTTATTGTTTAATCCCTAAATTTTGCTGTAAATGACCGCTTTAGGATAACAACAATCCTGTAACTACATTCACTACCTCATCTTGTAATTAAAACAAAGAATCTCATATCATGTTAAGGAAACAGTCAGCATGTATATCGTAACTATTATTAGATCTAAGGCAACAGATTGGTCTGAAAATAAATTATAATGAATTGCAACGAAATTGATGGGCACAGAAATCTATTTTAAAGTCTCACAATTTCATATTAAAACAGTATATTACGTAAACAACATACAAGCATTCACAAGGTAAGTTATCGTTTCCGTAAATATATCAAGTCAGATTATAAAACATTTATAAACCTATAATTTACTTGCTATCAAAAAAAAATTATAAATTCTAAGAATTTCCTGTCAAGCAACACCAAAGTCAGAATTTTCAATACAAATATCAAGATCATTCTACTGTATATGGCGGAAACATGGAGAACTACGAAAGCTATCATCTAGAAGATACAAGTGTTTATTAACAGTTGTCTACGTAAAATACTTCGAACCCGATGGCCAGACACTATCAGCAACAACCTCCTATGGAAGAGAACAAATCGGATTCCAACGGAGGAAGAAATCAGAAAGAAGCACTGAAAGTTGATAGGAGATGCATTGAGAAAAACACCCAACTACATTACAAGACAAGCTCTCACATGGAATACTCAAAACCAAAGGAGAAGAGCAAGACGAAAGAACACATTACTCCTAGAACTGGAGACAAACATGAGAAGAATGAACAAGAATGGATAGAACTAGAAAAGAAGGCCTAGGACAGAGTGGGTTAGAGAATGCTGACCAACGGCCTATGTTCCATTAGGAGTAACAGGCGTAAGTAAGTAAGTAAGTAAGTAACTGATCAGTCTCTTGTTAGCATATGGGCATTATGTGGGGACTGCCATGATATCACCTAACGTCACAAGCTCTATAAGCAAAGATGGATAGTAGCTTGCAGTGGAATCCAGGACGCGCATTTCGTCCCAATTGAGACTCTGCGATCCAGGTACATCCAGCTAACGAGTCCGAAATAGGACGAAAAGCGCGTCCTACTATCCATCTTTGCTTATAATGCTCCATATAACTGCTTGTTCCTACATGACATTATTTTGACATTAAAAATGAATTGGCATGATCCTATTCTTCAAAATTTCATGACCGTATAACACTGAATGTAATCTCCTATTGATTATTTCATTGTTTTTCATATAAGAAGATGTATGTTACATTTAAAAATACCCTGTAAAATGTAATCGTTCTGTATGCAAGAAATTGAATAATAAAAACTTTCTTAACATAAATGACTTAGAAACATTTTGGAATGTGTCACACCTAGGAGTCACCTAACCCACTGATACCATGAAATCAATTCTATACTATAGAATGAAATTGATGTAAATTGATGACAGTTGATTTTGAAAAAGCTAATTCATAATAGTTATGAAATGTAAAGGATAAATGATAACGTGTACATCCTGTAGGAACATAACGAAGATATTTCCACAACCTATAAAGCAATATTATTTGATGGTAACACTGTCTCATCACAGTTTCTTGCGTATGACATCAGTTTTAAAAATACAATTTGAGCGAAGTTATTTTCATTTTACATTTGACTTTTATCTTCGCCTCGATAGCAACACCTTTTAAAGTTACTTCTTCAACATTGTAGTGGCTGGTACATATTCGTCTTATGAAAACAGATCATTTGGTCTTTCTCTTAGAAATAAAAGAGAAACGTATTAATAAAATTACCTGGTTTCATCCCTAATATTTCTTGTGCTACAACAGCAGTAAAGCTGTTAAATACATCTAATGGAGTAGAAAAATACTTGGTTATATTTACTTCATTTCTGATTGATTAATTTATGTCAATGTTTTAGTAGAATTACGAAAACCGATCAAAATTCAACTTTGAAGTCTTTTCTGTAAAACATTTTGTTAAGCAATGTATATATAAAGCAACTACCTAATGCATAAGGTAAGCGGACTGCAGTCAATATTTTAACGTTTGCAAACATGATTTACCATCTATGATTTAGATTATTGCAAAGTATGTCATTAACCCTTATACAAAAATGGTATCTCAGACCTATATACATAAACATACAGTTAAATAATGTGTCACAAATTTATGCAATGTCTATAAAAATGTTGAAAAGTTACTGCCCAATATTGATAATAACTGTCATTCTACAACTTCAACTTCATACCTGTTTTCTAAAGCCACAAATATTCTTCAGTTATCTAAATAAACCACTATTGTAAACATCAAACGTTGTTGTGCCACAAATTTTAAGCTCGAGTTATACATAAACTCAAATTATTTATTTCAGTGGTTAAGATCATGAGTCAGTTGAAGCTAGACCACCATGGAAAACCTGGGGGCGTTGGACGGCTGTTTCGTCCTACTGCGGGACTCCCCAGCAGTGCGAATCCACGACCTCGCCACCTGCAAGACTCGAACCCAGGACTTACTGGTTTCGCGCGCGAACAATTAACCTCTAAACCACTGGGCCGGCATCCAGCGGTGTTAATGTCTAACTTCAAATAATCCACGAAATTGAGCGACACATCCACCATTGTCTTTAGTGAGTTACTATCTCACAACAGACCCAGTTGAACTCCACTCACTAGAACTCCAGGATATACCTCTTGAAGCCAGTCACTAGTGAGCATATGTTGATTAATGTCAGATGGGTTTTGTGGGTATTCTAGTAATTTCAATAGTTAATATCATGATCTTAACTATTGAAATTACTAGAATACCCACAAAACCCATCTGATATTAATCAAATTATTTACTTGAAAATTCACTATAAATAGATCAATACGGTAACAATCCATAATTAATGATGTTGCCAATAAAATGTGCATCTAAATTTATAAATATATTGACACTTTTCAGATTTACAACATATTATTCTAACTATATAGTGCTGCAGTTGCGGCACTCACAATGTATTGGTGTTTTTTACGAGGCACCTACTTAGATGGTCGATAATTATCAATACTTCCTGAATTTCTTATTGTAATATGTAAAATCTGCTTGCCTTAATGGTATATTAAAGTTTTACCACATAATCAGAAAAAAAAACAATAAAATTAACAAAAGAAGTAACAGTGTTTCACATTTGCATGTTGTTTATTAATAATACATTGCATAGTAGCAATGTCAATCATGTGAACGATCAAAGTCTTTAACTACTGATCGATATACAATAATATTAGTCATTAGCAACTAATTATTATGTAATAAGTGGCCATGAAGCAATGACGAAAAAACACTATTTAAATTTAAACTCGTGAAAAACTCTACAACTCAATAAATAAAACCCTTTAAAAAAGCTCATGATTCCTAATAGACCTTGACAATGCACAAATGATTACGCCACATCCCATTGTATTTACCAATTGACATGTTTGTGTGGACACCCATACATAGGAAGGAATAATCGAACAATGCAATCTAGAGTTATTGAACATGTGCCTAGATGGCTTCAAAACCAATTAGTGTCGAATGATCCGA